GGCTGCACCCCCTCGAGGGAAGATCTGCAGGATTTTGGTCACCCGAAATGTGCCGCCAAGCTTCTTTGTCGCTATGTATACGTATCTCGGAAACTCGGTTGTGAACAAACGTACCACATTGAATATCGCTCTTAATCCATGCCAGCACCGTTGTGGAATCCGTCCAATAGTATACGGTTTCTATTTTTCGATTTAAAGAGTTAATTACCAATGACGTGAGTCGTGTGGCAATAGTAGCAGCCATTAATTCAAGACGAGGAATCGTTGATTTTTCCGGAGTGACTTTGCACTTAATAAAGTGACTTTGACATTCCCATTATGCTCGGTTCGGGCAAAAATTACGGCAGCATATGCTTGCCCACTAGCGTCTCCGAAAACGTGTAAACTTAACGTTCCTGGCCCTATTTCACGAGGTATTTCTATTTGTTTCATCAGTGGCAGTTCTCGTACCCACTGACAAAACACGTCTCTCTCGGTCCCCATTACTTCTACGTCCCAATCAGTTTTTTCTTTCCATAACCTTTTTAATAAAAGTTTTGGCTGTAAAGACACGGGACATGTTACACCTATGGGATCAAAAATTTTTAGAGTTGTTCGTTTTGTTATATTATCAGTACAACCCGGTCCAAGAGCATCAGGATTAATCATAATAACATCTTTCCGTTTATCCCACCCTAAAATATTGGTAACGTTATCACTAGTCGTATCGAGCGTGTACTCCCAACCTCTAAGATTGAAACCTCCCATGGCAAATATTTCACTTGCAGTTTTGATGAACTCATGTAATTCATCAACTGTGTTAACGCTTGTAATACAGTTATCAACGTAAAATGATTCTTTAAGTTTTTTACTTATGTCGGCAGACCATATTTTTTGAAAGTTGTGATTACGTGTCATATTTTGATCATTTGAACAATTATTTAAATGTAGTTCGATAATTGCCGCCAACAAAAAAGGACTGCACGACAAACCAAATACTACACGTCTATGCCTATAAGTGACAAGCTCCTCGTTTTTAAACCACAAAAATCGCAAAAAATCTCGATCTTCGTTAGCAACATCTATCTGCAAAAATGCTCGTTTGATGTCCGCTATAATCCCGATTTTCCCTTCCCGAAATCTATTAATAATATTCGGAATGAGCGCTATCATATTGGGTCCCTTTTCTAAACAATTATTTAACGACGGTTTTCCTGGAGTGCTTGCCGACGCGTCAAATACCGGTCTAATCGGAGTCGTACTACCTGGTTTCAGTACTGCGCGATGCGGTAGATAATGACAATGCAAATCACCTTTGGAAAAGGGAACCTTTTCAATAATATTTTCGCTTAACCAATTGTCCAAAATTTCATCATATTCAAGAAAAATATTTTGGCCTTTCAGTTTTTTAACGTTAGATAATAGCCGCTTGCACGCAATTTCGAAATTCGTAGGTAATGGTTGGTGATTATCCACTCAAGGTAATCTAACCTCGTATCGACCATCCGAATTAAAATTAGCTGTTTCTAAAACATACTTACGTGCCTTCATGTCTATTTCTGACCTTTCTACTGTTTCAATCGGATCTGTAATACCAAGTAGATCTAATTGCCATAAGTCAGTTGGCGTAGCAGTTTCAATAAACATTGCATTTAAAAGTATCGCCGAATCTGAAAGTTGCGATGTTGACGGTAATTTTCCCGTTACGGTCCACCCAAGCTTAGTTTTAAAAGAAGTTAACCCATTGCTTAATTCGCATATCTTCCCTGTGAACAGTTTCCCTATTACATCTGCCCCAATAAGAACTTCAATGGGAGTTGAATCACCGTCAATATCGCTGAGATGTATGCCCTTATTATCTAATTCCTTTAACAGGGGTTTACACTTTAATTGCGGAATTGATTCACAAATTATATCTTGACCTAATGCAATAAATTTGCAAGCAAAACGGTTATTTAAATCACGCAACCTAATTAAAAACAGATCGTGGCTTCCTACCTTCGACCGTTGACCACCGAAAAGGGAATGAATGACTTCTTGTTTACCGTGGGATTCGTAGCCTAATTCTTCAGCTACAGACGAAAGTACATACGAGCGTTGAGAACCGGAGTCGAAAAGTACACGTATTACTCGTTCTCTGGTGTCGGAGTACAAAACAACTCTTGCAGTTGGTAAACAAACTTCTGGGCATCCCGAAAGTGTTGTTAAATTATTCTCCTTCGCAGTTTTTTGTGGTCGACGAGTATTGGTATCGCTTTCTCCATCTGAAACATATGCACTTTTCTCGTGTTTATTTACCAGTTCGCACAAAAGAAGTGTGTGTCGGCCTGAACACCAACTACAGCTTAACTTTACACGGCATGATTTCGAATTATGGCCATGCTTTAAACAGCGAAAACAACATTTCTCTCGCTTCACTATGTTTTTCCGCTCATCAAAGTTTAGTTTGCGAGCAACAGTACATTTGTTATTTTCGTGTTCGCCATTACAAAATATGCACGACAAATTGGATTTCGAAACAAACAGAGCGTTTGCAGTCGCAACATCACCTTGAACTTCATAGGTTTGCTTCCCTCGCAACTGCTTCCTTCCTTCTTGGTTCGCTGTAATGTTGAAGCCTGTCATTGCCATCTTAATAGTCTCCTGATCGCACACTTCTAGTTCCAGGAACGTCATCAATTGGGTCAGCTGGTCATGCGATTCAGTTGTTAAACCGTCTTTCCTACTGAACTGCTTCCATGCTCGTAGGACCTCTTCAGGAAGACAAGATTCAACCAAAGGATACAATAACGTAGCGTAGTCCTTTTTCATTACACCCAATGAATTGAGTGCCCGTAAATGCGATCCCAATTTGTCATATAAATCTGACAGTTTCGGTTTCCTTGTGTCAGACGCATTCTGAAGTACAAGGGCTAATAACTCTCGTACATAAAACTGTTTCACGAGGTCATCTCGTCCGAAACGGTTCTTCAAACTTTCTATCGCTTTTTCATAATTATCTCCCGTGGGAGGAAAACTGGTTACTATATTCTTGGCGCTAGATTTTTCGACTGTAGCCTGTAACAAGTATTGAAACTTCACTTCATTGCTTAAAGTCGGATCTTCGTGATACTTTTTGAATTGACTCCAAAAAGGAAGCCATTCCTTTACCGATCCCTCGAACTTCGGTATCTGTAATTTCGATAACGCTTTCTGTGTAAATGACGGAACGATTTCAGGAGATTGTGTTGCAGATGCAAGAAATTTATTCATTGCGATATTCGCGTCGATAAATTGTTTATGGTACGTATCATCTGATTCCAATTCAGCACTAATTTCATCTTCCGACATGTCACTCTGAAACAACTTTTTGTTATAATGTTCTTGACTGGTATATAATTCTTTCAGCCGTATTTCTAGTAATTGAAACGCGCTTTGCTTAACGTCCAAAGTGGTTTCCGTACAAACCGTCTCCATAAAGGTATTGAAAGCTCGAGTAAAAGCACCGCGGGCTACAGTACGTCGTTTTTTGAGTGGTTCAGTCATCTTCAACTTTTTGTTGTACACCACCTAAATTTACCCACTTGTCCTGTCACGGTCGCCACTTGTTAAAAAACTATCACTCTGAGGAACGGGGCCGCTAATTTGGTGTACCTACACGCTGATATACGTAGTTTCTTCAACAAGAAATCAAAACGCAACTTGTATTTTTATTTTACAATCTTGTTATTATTATGTAACCATACCAACAACGAACTATATTATTTTTCTTACCAAGCCATCTCTAACAGTATGCTTGTTTCCCTTTGAAAGTACTCAATCAATTTCAAAATAAAACCTTGCTCAACTTTCGTGTATCAATATGTCATAGTAAAATTTGTAAAATATTTGTCTATTACAGCGTTGCTGCACTTTCGACTTTTGATATTCAGTTCACTTTTAACACAAAATAATCCAAAGATAGGTATCTCAAACTGGAAATCTGTAAAAAACGAAAATCGTTTGTGACGGATTGACATTATGGACAGACCGTTACCTATCATTGTTTATTTGTCACGACTTATGTTGAAGACGTAATTTTTTTGTCTCTATCGTTTTAAATGCAATGAAGAGAGAATCACATTTATGACGTCATTTTCAGACCTGTGAAGCAAAGTAGATTCACATTAGCAACTTCCCTTTCTTGTCCCATAGTTTCACGCTACTCTTCTGAATTTACTAAAATATCTTGACTCTCTTGGTACCTAGTAAATAGTAATTGTAGATTTCTTGCACTTGTTAATCGCCATTCTTATGGTATTTCACGTCATTCCATACAATGTCCGAATGTCGACAAATACATACCCTGATGGTTTCCTTATGGGTCCAATAAAAAACAAAATGATTGAAAATAATGTTTGGTTACAGGTATACACTTCTAACATGTATTCATGTCCTTTTGTCAAAAAAATTGTACACCTCGAGTGGTATATTCTAACTTCACTCTAAATCTCGATCTTATTCTTCAGCTAACTTAATCTCGGGAACCTCTAAACTTCCGAACGGCGTCGGCCGTCGTTTATCCTAGTCCCCTTGTAACAGATAAGGGATTTTTTATACCTTCCATACAGAATAATAATCATGCACAACTTGCACTACCTACATAATATTGAATCATGTAGGTACTATCACAGATTTAAATATTTAAATCTGTGGTACTATAAAAGATGAATTAAGAGGCTGTATTTCTTTTAGTAGTTGTAGGCACACAATAGTGCACCACAGAGTAAGGTTCTTATGTATAAATTAAGTTAATCGATTAAAGTTATTTACTGGTACCTACCTACAACTTAGGTTCCAGGTATTGGTTTGCTTTTTCATATATTCTCTTTCGTGTTTATGTGAGGCTTAACTCGCAGTTATATTTTCTCTCTATAAACTTCGATCACATTGTTCATCTTTGTTTGTACTTCGACTAGTATTGTTATTATAGCGTCTAACAGTCCAGCGTACTTACTTCTTAATTACATCAAGCAAATAATACATATTTATATTGCTTAAAGGACCAAAAGGGGACCGAGGTGAAAGTGGTACCATAGGCGAACCTGGCTTAAATGGCGAGTCTGGTCTACAAGGACCTCCTGGACTACCGGTAAATAAAACAGTTACCTTTTCTGATCATACGAAAAATGGCCCTTTCTGGCACAGCATTCACAATTACAGTAGCTAATGATTATTCTATTTTGCCAGGGCCAGCCTGGACCGAAAGGTGAAAAAGGCGAATATGGTGACATCGGCCCACCTGGTTTAATGGGACCTCCTGGTTTACCTGGACCTCCTGGATATCCTGGTCAAAAGGGAGAAAAGGGCGAGAAGGGAGAATCGGTATGTATTGTTTATTCACTACCTACCTACCTTTTGCATTAGTGATTAGAACGTTGAACAGTGCTGCTTTTGGTATAAATCCAGTAGTTTGAAATATCATCGATAAGAGATGCGTTTAGCATTGAAGAGTTTGTTTGGATTGAGTCACTTTAGGTATACGGGAGAGGAACATTTTGGTAGTATGACCAATGCATATTTATTTAATTCTTTGTATAACTCTATAATGACAGCTTTCTAATATACGTTTGTTTTTTATACTGTTCACAGAAATATAAGAAGTTAAGGAGAAGGCAGGTAAGCATTAATTTCATGATATTTTATGTGTTCTTGTTAATATATTATGTATCAAATCAATAATAATGGGTGATGATTTTATGTTTTTTGTATTTTTTAATTACTGTTTCAGGGAGACGGGACTGGAGAGGTAACAATTGGAGGCGATATGGTAAATATACCAAATAAGGAGACAAGCAAGGTTACAAATGGCATTTCAGATTATGGGTCCACCTGGCCCACCCGGTCCCGCCGGTACCCCAGGCCTTCAAGGACCGCCTGGAATTAAAGGCGACAAAGGCGTGGATGGAGTCAAAGGAGAGCCAGTAAGACTTCTTTTTTATTTTTATATGTAATCTAGAACGCTAGTTTAGAACGACTGACTCCTCTTGATTGAAAAAAGTGATCTACGTTCTGCGTGATTACGGTCAATTTCATTTATATGTTAAATGTTTTTAAACAATGTTATTTATTAAGAAGTAGACATAGGGATATTTACGTGCATTGTTGTTCCCTATGTCTACTTTTAAATGGCAAATTCTCTTCTGAAGGGCGCCTAATTTTATGGAACCAAAATAACTTCTTAAAACAAATAAAGATCTGGCTGCCATATCAATTAATTTGAATATAGTTGTTTTGGCTTCAAAGAAAATAAATCCCTTACGCTCCTTAAACTGTTATCAGCACTATACCAATTGACAATATCAACTTTTTCTTCAGTTGCACACGAACAAAATAAAAATACGGTAGGAAGTCAAAGTGTTGAATCCAGCAAGCCTAGTTAGGGTAGTTGTTGATTTGAAATAAGAATAAGTGCTTTCACTGTTTCCTTTATTCTAGCACCTTACACCTTTCTTACACTAAGTGGACTGTATTTACAACTGCGCTTACTGAACTAAACTTAAGCCTAGAAAACATATGAATATAACGTAAGGTGGTTAGTCCTTTTCCCAAAATGGGCGGAAATTGCCGCTCGTTAATCTTGGCGCTCACTTCTAATTCTACCGTGTCGAATTATGAGTTCGCTCCCTAACACAAAGTAACAAGATTCAAATTAATTAATATGACAGCCACACCTTTATTGGTTTTAAGAAATTGCATTAAATGAAGCGACCTTCAGAAGAGATTTTATCTTTTAAAAGTAGACGTCGGGAAAACAATGCATGTACGTCCATCTCTATGTCTAGTTCTTAATAAATATCGCTGTATGTTAGATTCATTTTTCTCTCAGCAATAGCAAAGAAGCGACTTAAATGATAGTAGTAGTCCTTTTTTGATAAGTGTACACCTTATTTCTTACGCACTACGCACGTAATATCTGATACATCAGTAATTGTAATAATTCTTATCCAGGGCGAAAAAGGAACCAAAGGTGATCCTGGACCAATGGGTCTTCCGGTGAGTAAGCAACACTCATTTACAATAAAGCGTAACAAACATATTGAATAGGGTCCCATGGGTTTACGAGGCGAAGCTGGCCGACCAAGTGATTATACCAAACCAGGGCCTCCGGTAAGAAAGCACTTCTATAATTAAGGCTAAATGGTGTTAGCAGAAAATGTACAGAGACTTAATAAATTAATGGTTTATTGAAACTTTGAATAAGTGGCTTAATATGCAGAAGGCAGCGCTTCCTATACAGTTAATAGATTGCTTAGGATCACAATTTAGATCGAGAGAAAAATTTGATAAACATAAAGCCGCTATTTTCTAAAAATGACAAAATTGTATTAATTAAAGAAATCTAACGTTTTCTTTGTAACGGCGTTTAAGATACCGCAAACTGAAATGAATGTAATTTACTCATCAATGTGTTGTTTATATGTAATTTTAAAGCTGTATCTATTGCTACATGTATATTTACTTAATATAGTGCTGAAAATATGTATAAAAGACATACAACTCGAGCCTTATGTATTAAAAGGGCATAAACGCCACAGACTGTTTTCGTCCACTAAGATACTTAAGTAAATGTTATTTTAAGATGTACAAGACTAGAAATCATTAATTGAAATAATTTTATAAATATACACATTGCCAATTAATATTAATTATGACTGTATAAATACAATATCATGTATAACAACAATGCTGTGCTATAATAATTGTTTATTAAATTTTTTATAGATGTTTTAAGTAGCTTAGTTTAAAGTTTAGACTGATTGTAGATTAGGTTTATGAAGCATACAATTTGTAAATTATTATAATTTTATTAACTAGCATTATAAAGAAGTTAGTGTAACAATTTTAATGTACGAAAATAAATGTTTTGTGCATGTGCTGTACGTTATAAAAGCTTGCATTATGTTTGTGCCTTAACCTCGCTTTGTGAACTTTTCAAAAAGAGAAAGTTAACAAATATTGCAAATTCAGGTGCATGAAGATTGGAACTACGTGAGCATTTGGTGCATAAAAATGCAACACTCAGTTATTTTCTAACAATAACAGTTACTGGATTACACCTTTCTTTAATTATTTTTCTTCACAGGGACCACCAGGACTTGACGGGATGAAGGTGAGAACATCTTTTTGTTTGCATAAGTGACTGTGTGTTATAACAACTAGTCGAGTTACGTGTTTCATGATTAACACCATTTTATTTGCTTAGGGAGCGCAAGGTGAGCCAGGCAGTAAAGGAGAGCGGGGTGACCCTGGCTTACCTGTAAGTTGTCCCTCTATTAGACTAACTATACTAATACAGCATTTTAGGGTACAGATGGAATCCCGGGCCAAGAGGTACTTATTCACATTGATTTTCACACTAACTTTAAGTTTGGAGACGACACAGTAGCTTTAATAGTATTTTAATACCAAGTTAAACACCTGTTATAGGTTTTCTTTTCTGTTTCTATAGTGACGTTAATGTTTTCAGGGTCCTAAAGGAGACAAAGGATATAAAGGGGATGCTGTAAGTAACTTCTCTTTCACCGCATCATCTGCTCGCTTACATTCTTTGCGCTGCAACTTTTAAATTGGTTATATATATGCTATTATAAGTTTCTATATTTCGTCTTAAAGGGTCCGATTGGGAAACGCGGACGCAAAGGTGACAAAGGCGACAAGGGAGATCAAGGTGTACCAGGCTTGGATGCTCCATGTCCCTTAGGAACGGACGGGCTACCGTTACCGGGATGTGGTTGGCGACCACCTAAAGTTAGTTGAATCGCTTATTAGTGATTATTTTAAAATGCATGGGCGTGGTGTGATTAACTTTTCAGGAAATCCATACTATATCAACGCCTGCCAGTGATATTGATACTGAAGATCCAGTAGATGAAGACTTTGAAGGCGATTATGATGATCAAGACGACTATGAAGAATATCCAGAACATACAAACTCTGCACTTGCTATATCAGCTTCAGCTATTTAACAATTAATTGCCCTGCTAGCGTTTGGGATTTTACATTAAATGTGGTTTGTATGAGCTGTTTTAATTAACTTTCACTAAGCTTATACAGTACAGAATTACTTATATGAGATTAATATTCCTGCAAACTTCACGCACACGGCACACCTTATATATTGCATAAAATATTCAGGACAGACTTTACTTATTTATACGTACCATATCACATGTTTGTGAAATGTTTTAAGATAGTGGGTACCTACCTATCCGACCGGACAGTACTTTGTACTGATAAATAGAATTTAAGTGTTCCTCAAATTAAGTAAAGGTATTATAGCGATGGTGGGCGTGGAGAGGGGTAGGTATAAGTCATTTTATGAGAAATCGAGTAAATGATCAATATAGTAGATTTCATTAACTTTCACAAATCACCTGTCTAATTAATTTTTGAGCTAAAATCAAATTTTGTCAGATAGTATAGAAATAAGAGTTTTTTAGATTATAAATGTTTATTACTAAAATAATGAAAAATACACAATCTGAACTAAGCTTATATCTTTTGACACATTACAAAAACTGAAAAACAAAACATATATCCCTTTTCACTTTAACAAATTTTCATATTTAAACTTTTAACTCTTCTTCCTCGTCGCTTTCTTCTTCAACTCGTATGTCTCAGGCAATGCATTGACTATCTCTTGTTTAAAAGGCAAATTTTTATAAAAACCGTGAAAAACCTTGTCAATCTAGGGAAGCAACTTTAATAAATTTTTCTTTTTTTCTGGGATCAACAAACCATTACAACTAAACAAATGAAATATTGCAACTTGGGGGGACTAACTATACTCCCAAGTTTTTGAATTCTGAATAATTCAATAACGATCAAACAACAAACGTGGAAATGTAACTAACAAACACCAACAAACGATTGCAATAAAAATATTCTGAAAATTCCATATTCCTTTTCCAAAACTACACTTATTTCATTTTACACAATTGTCGACATATATCCCTTTACAGGCGCACCATCGAATTATATTAACAGCTTTTACACTATGATATTAAGTAGATATTGGAGCAGATCCAATCTGCTATATTGGATTAGAAACCAGTACTACCTATCTTTGTTGCGGAAAGTATTACAGGATTGAGTTTTAATAACATCCAATAGGAGTACCTTATACTGTTGTAGTGATAATAATACAGTGTTTTAATCACTTGCAATAGGTGCATTAATACTAATACCTACATTTTTTGATAGTTTTAGGCAGCGGCCAATGAAGAAGGTTTCAAAGGAGCACAGTTCCCGAATATGTACTTACTTTACAAGTGAGTGTAAATAGTGTTTGTTATGCTAAAAACATGTTCACTCTGACAGCACACTCTACAGATAATCTATCGAATTAACTAAAGAAGATGTATGTTTATATAATAAACTATAGTTAATCAGTGTTGTAAATTTTGAGAAAAGTTAATTATGATGTAGATACTAGGTTGTTTACTGAAATGTGCCAAAATTTACGGATTCTTTAAAGCGTGTAATTAATAAAGCACTATTTTTCTTTAAATCCCTCTGTATGTCCAAAACGCCCAATTTTGGTAAACACTTCATGTATTTGTACATAAGAAACCACTTGCATAGTGTATCCCATTTAATATAATGAACGCATGTTTACTGTGGATTTGGGTAAAATTTGCCATAGATTGTTATTAAGCTCACCTGAGAAATATCAGTGAATACTATTATGTATTAGAGAAATTTGGCCTAAGTAAGTTTATAGGTATATCTTCCGATTTTGATATGTATTTGACCATACCCACTCAAATGTTGTATAAAGTAATTATAATTATTAATTAAATTATTACTGCATATGAAATAAACAAACGTACTTGATTGTTACCTACTTGTAGTATCAGTTACTGTTCTTACTAATTTATAAATATTTTATAAGGAGAGTTGTCTTATTAGCATTTTTATTCTTTATTTAAATAAACTTGAATATATAAGTAATTTAAATTCTGCGTACCTAAGAGGTGATATGGTAGTAAATGGTATGTTTATACCATTGCATGTGTCATTAGTTTGTTTATTCCATTTCCAAAATTTTGTCAGAGGGAGTCGGTAGGTATATCTGCTGCGTTTTCAACAGCTACAAACGACGATGACGCCGAGACATAATTTTGCTGCATACTAAAACAGGTATGCGTTAACGTTGACACCGCCGTTAAGCCTTACCAGCAAGACCTAAGGTCGTCAGATACCATCTTAACTTATAAAACTAGCGCCGCCCCCCGGTGAGGGGAGGTTTCTAATAGCCTGCACATTCTTGTTGAGCTTCGTGGAGCGTTGATGCTAGGGTGCTAGTAAGCTTTAACGCAAAAAAATTTGGAACTGCTCTAGCATTGCAATGGCGGTGCTAATTTGTAGCTAGAAGATCTATGTTGCAACAAACATTTAAGGACGATAGTAATATATATTTTCGAGAACCCATACGCTAATTATAGGAAACTCTATAACCACAGAAAATACATAGACTATGTTGTATTTGCAACCCAAGGCGAAGATCAGATATGTCACAAATGTAACAACACCCTGAAAAATTTGTTACAGAGGGAATAACAACGTAAAAATGACTACTCCTGTATACATCGGGTAGGTATACTTAATTACGTACGCTCTACCAAATGTATTCCCTTGTTTAATTCAGGAGAAGCACGATGTCTTTGTACTTCACTGTGCACGCAAAAGTTTTGCAACATGTCTTTGTATTTAAAATAATCTTTAGAGTTTAAAGCATAAACCTTACCAATTTTTATTTCTTCGCATTTAAAAATAAAATTTGACGTTATTATCGAGCGACCCAGCTCGTTCATGATTTTGGACTTTCTGTCCGCCGCCGTCCGTCTGTGTAGGTACGGTTTTGGTCAGAAGTAATGTCCCTCGATTATCTCAAGTGTAGCACATAATTAATATACCAGATCTCCTGTGAAATTTGAGCTTCTTTTCAACATGAGGAAAATGCCTAAGATTGAAATGAAATTGAACTAAATCACGGAGAAACTGACACATTGGTACTTTTTCTACAGTTGCGGTGTCTAAGAGAGGACATTACTTCTGACCACGACTGTACATGATAACTCGCGAACGGTTTCGAATTTTCCAATTCTGTTTTCAGCATTATAGACGCCAGACGGATACTGGCTACGGAAAAAAGTGACTTATCGCTACATGGCGGTTTTTTTGTGTAAAGTATGCTGATACATAGTGAAGTAGAAAAAGAAAAAGTCGTGTCCGCCAGCGAGATCCATCCATATACTGTGCTTAAGGTTGGTAGGGGTGGTCAAATATGTCAAATTTTAATAAAACTGTTGATTTTCCGATTATATTTACATCTGGCGCCTTTATATCCGACGCAAAAGTTGAAGTGCAAAAATTCTTACAAAAAATTATAAAAACAAGTGTGTTAAAGTTTAAAAGACCATAACGGCTTAAAAATGTTTGTAATAATTATCGCATACACTGGCTAATGTGCCACAAGAAACTCTACAAAGAGTCCATAACAATTTTTTGTGAGTTTCTTAGTTTTTGAGAAATTTCAAATTGAACGGTTAAACTATTATTCATTTTATAATTTTTCTAAATTTTATGAACTCTACAAAAAAAAGTCTCATTCATTTTTTGCGTCAGATTCAAAATAAAAGCGCCAGAGGTAAATATAGACGGAAGATCGGCAGTTTTATTAAAATTTGTCATATTTGACCGCCCCTCCCAGCCTTAAGTCACGGGATTTCGCTGGCAGACATGACTTTTTCTACTTCACTATGTATCAGGATACTTTATACAAAAAATCAGCCATGTAGCGATAAGTCACTTTTTTCCGTAACCAGCTCTTATAGCGTTTTCGATTGGCAAAACTCGTGCTGCACGAGTGCAATTTTTACGTTCCATTGGTAATTTTAGGGCAATTTTCTGTGTTCCATTGGCAAATGTGATGCAACAATTACGCACTCAGTGCAAATTTCGACGCACGAGGTCCGAGAGCTCGTGGAGCTGCTTATAGTTAACAAATTTTCAAAACAAACGTGCGACAATTTTAATTTGTTTCTTGCGTTGGGAGAGTTTTTTGTCGTCATCTAGCGATAGCGAAGATGGTGAAATAGCCATAACTTCTATTTTACAAAAAGTTGCACTTACTTATTAATCTGAACGCCAAAAATTGGTCCTTTACAGGAATTTTAAATTTATATTCCTAATCGTTTATCATAAATACTGAAATCGTTTGTAATTTTTTAGAATAGAGATTTGTCGATTACCTAAATCTAAAATGAGGTTATGGACAAATGACAACAAATATTTAGGAATATTTATGTTCCATTGAGAGCAATTTTCACATGGATTTCTTCAGTTTCTCGTGCAAAACTCGTGCAGTACAAGTTTTGCCAATCGAAAACGCTATATGTTTATCCATTGTATATACCAATAGATTACAATGGTTGTATACAGGGTGACAATTTGAAAACTTACCACCCTCCATATCTTAGTAAATAAACGAGATAGCATTACATTTAGGTTAGTAATTATCGTGCAAATCAAAAAATAAACTAATATGATACATTTGAAATCTGTCGTATTTAAAACGCAACCGGCGAACATAGACGAACTAAGACAGAGAATAATTCAAGAATGTCGAAATATTGCAAAACCAACATTTGAAAAGGTTCGACAAGAGTTTGAGAATAGATTATAACTGGCGATCAAAAATGAGTTGCTGTCGAGTCGGCTTTGGAAGTTCAAGTTAAATACGATTTTCCATGTTTATTTTTTGATTTGCACGATAATTACTAACCTAAATGTAATGCTATTTGGTATGGTTGGAAAGCATTTTTTCAGAGCTTTCCAATGACGTATCACACATGGGGAGTCCCTATTTAAGATTTAAAAGTTGGGGTGGCTAGGGCGCAGGGAGTGTGAGGGGGTGCGTCGCCAACTATGTCATTGTGATTCCCCCTCCGAATTACCGAAACGGATTTTGATTTTTTCAAATATATCTTTTATTTACTAAGATATGGGGGGTGGTAAGTTTTCAAATTGTCACCCTGTATACACTATACCAGCGATTCTCAACCTGGGGGTCGCGACTCCCAAGGAGGTCGCGCGCAGATTTGAGAGTCGCGGTAGGTACAGGACAGGCAAGATAATTTCGATTTCAATTCTGAATTCACCAAAATGCAAAGTGCATAAGAAAATTGTGACGGAAACATCGTTTTGTAGTAATTAAAACTTACATAGTCAGCTACAACCGCGGGGACTTCCGACGCCGAGACGCCTGGGCGTCGATTCCCGAAGATGTGCTTTGTTTACATCGACTGACCTTGATGTGAACGTGAATGTCACTGCATTCTCGAACCTACCACATCGAGCGAAAAGTTGATCGAACACAACGACTGGTCTAGACCACTCGTTGCATGAAAGTCATGCGCAGTTGCAGCTACAGGACTGATCTTGCAGCTGTTTTGCTAGGAGTTATTCAGTGCCCTAACCTATTACATTCACATATTTTCTGTGAAATAAAACATGGAATTGTTCGAGGATTTTGTCGTTATTAATAACAGTATCCTTAATGCAAAAACAAAACAAAATACAAAACTGACAAATGACAGTTCAATTCTTGTTTGTGATTGGTTAGCACATAAAATTTGCCCACAATTCGAGAATGCAGCTAAACTTGAACTTATCCCTATCGTATACGATCATGACGTCATGGCAGCCAGTCACATCACATGCACATCACGGAGCATATCGACTAACTTCGGGAATCCGATACCCTGGTAGTGATACCATACGAACTCGCCTGTTGTTGAGAACATCGCTTCAATTTGCCAATAACTTTATGTGTGTGATGTGGTTTTATTTAGTTTCAAAATGAGCGAGCAATCAAATCTGTTTGGATTTTTAACGAAATCTGGAAGTACTAAAGACAATAACAACATAAATCGCTCAATGTCAACATTTAGTTTTTTTTTGTTAATTATTAAATTTTTGTTAAATTGGCTTAATGAATATTGACTTTATTGGAACCACTGGAAAGCATTTTTCAGTAGCTTTCCAACGATGTGGCACAAGTATGGGTTGCCATTTAGGATTTTTGAAGAGGGGGGCTGGGGAGTTAAGGGGGGTTGTCACTCATAACGTCATTCTGGTTCACCCTCGATACCCCCGAAACGGTTTTGCGCGATTTTCAATATCTTCTTTAGTTTGGAAAATATGGCCGACTGCATAGTTTTAAAATTGACACCCCGTATGTATTCAACTCGCTAACAATAAATAAAAAATATTTAGTTTAGCGTGTAGTTAATTTAACAGAGTTCCTCAATGGCATTAACAATAGGATTAAGTACTATAGGGGGTCGCGGTCATCAGACCCAGAAGATAAGGGGTCGCGATTGCAAAAAGTTTGAGAATCGCTGCACTATACAATGGTTTATCATTACCCAAAGTAGAACTGATTAAATTTTTAGTAGCCCAGGAGCTACTGTCCGGCCGGCCGTCTGTAACATGTCCTGGGTCACTGAACATTTAATCAGTTCTCCCTTTTGGGTGATAAACATGAAAAGAGAATTGGAAAATTGGAAACCGTTCGCGAGTTATGATGTACACAGAAAGTGTTATACTGGCCACTGGGTGGTGCCTAGCGCGACGCAGCGTAGGGATTTCAATGGTAATATCGTTATGTTATAGTCAATTACTAGCTTCCCTAATCATTTTAGAGCAAAGGTCTACCTAAGTAGGTACCTATACGTTTTTTTAGAGAAAAAAATACTGTATCTGTACATACGATTACCTACTTATAATTTTCCGTTTTTCAAAACCGTATAGAAATCAACAAAATAAAAAATTAAATGTTTATAAATCAGT